CACCAACTCACCATCTCATCAAATCACCAACTCACCATCTCATCAAATCACCAACTCACCACCAACTCACCAACTCACCATCTCACCAACTCACCATCTCACCATGTCACCTTCTCACCACCAACTCACCAACTCACCATCTCACCAACTCACCATCTCACCAACTCACCATCTCACTCACCAACTCACCATCTCACCTTCTCACCACCAACTCACCAACTCACCATCTCACCAACTCACCATCTCACCATCTCACCAACTCACCATCTCACCAACTCACCATCTCACCAACTCACCATCTCATCAAATCACCAACTCACCAACTCACCAACTCACCATCTCACTCACCAACTCACCATCTCACCTTCTCACCACCAACTCACCAACTCACCATCTCACCAACTCACCATCTCACCTTCTCACCACCAACTCACCAACTCACCATCTCACCAACTCACCATCTCACCAACTCACCATCTCACCAACTCACCATCTCACCTTCTCACCACCAACTCACCAACTCACCATCTCTCCAACTCACCATCTCACCATCTCACCAACTCACCATCTCACCAACTCACCATCTCACCAACTCACCATCTCACTCACCAACTCACCAACTCACCTTCTCACCACCAACTCACCAACTCACCATCTCACCAACTCACCATCTCACTATCTCACCAACTCACCATCTCACCAACTCACCATCTCACCAACTCACCATATCATCAAATCACCAACTCACCAACTCACCAACTCACCATCTCACCATCTCACCAACTCACCAACTCACCATCTCACTCACCAACTCACCATCTCACCTTCTCACCACCAACTCACCAACTCACCATCTCACCAACTCACCATCTCACCAACTCACCATCTCATCAAATCACCAACTCACCACTCACTCACCAACTCACCATCTCACCATCTCACCACCAACTCACCAACTCACCATCTCACCATCTCACCAACTCACCAACTCACCATCTCACCAACTCACCATCTCACCAACTCACCATCTCACCAACTCACCAACTCACCATCTCACCAACTCACCAACTCACCAACTCATCACCAACTCACCATCTCACCAACTCACCATCTCATCAAATCACCAACTCACCAACTCACCAACTCACCATCTCACCATCTCACCAACTCACCAACTCACCATCTCACTCACCAACTCACCATCTCACCTTCTCACCACCAACTCACCAACTCACCATCTCACCAACTCACCATCTCACCAACTCACCATCTCATCAAATCACCAACTCACCAACTCACCATCTCACTCACCAACTCACCATCTCACCTTCTCACCACCAACTCACCAACTCACCAACTCACCATCTCACCAACTCATCCACTCACCATCTCACCAACTCACCAACTCACCATCTCACCAACTCACCATCTCACCAACTCACCATCTCACCAACTCACCAACTCACCATCTCACCAACTCACCATCTCATCATCTCACCAACTCATCAACTCACCGACTCACCATCTCACCAACTCACCAACTCACCACCAACTCACCATCTCACCAACTCATCCACTCACCATACTCATCATCTCACCAACTCACCATCTCACCAACTTACCATCTCACCAACTCACCAACTCACCATCTCACTCACCAACTGACCATCTCACCTTCTCACCACCAACTCACCAACTCACCAACTTACCATCTCACCAACTCACCAACTCACCATCTCACCAACTCACCATCTCATCAACTCACGACCATCTCACCAACTCACCATCTCACCAACTCACCATCTCACCATCTCACCAACTCACCAACTCACCAACTCACCATCTCACCAACTCACCATCTCACCAACTCACCATCTCACCAACTCACCAACTCACCATCTCACCAACTCACCATCTCATTAACGCACCACCAACTCACCAACTCACCACCAACTCACCACCAAACTCACCACGAACTCACCACCAAACTCACCACCAACTCACCACCAAACTCACCACCAAATTCACCACCAAACTCACCACCAAACTCACCACCAACTGACCACCAAACTCACCACCAACTCACCACAAACTCACCACCAAACTCACCACCAAACTCACCAACAAACTCATCACCAAACTCACCACCAAACTCACCACCAAACTCACCACCAACTCACCACCAAACTCACCACCAACTCACCACCAAACTCACCACCAAACTCACCACCAAACTCACCACCAACTCACCACAAAACTCACCACCAAACTCACCACCAAACTCACCACCAAACTCACCACCAATCTCACCACCAAACTCACCACCAAACTCACCACCAAACTCACCACCAAACTCACCACCAATCTCACCACCAAACTCACCACCAACTCACCACCAAACTCACCACCAACTCACCACCAAACTCACCACCAAACTCATCACCAAACTCACCACCAACTCACCAAACTCACCACCAACTCACCACCAAACTCACTACCAAACTCACCACCAAACTCACCACCAAACTCACCAACAAACTCACCACCAACTCACCATCAAACTCACCACCAACTCACCAAACTCACCACCAAACTCACCACCAAACTCACCACCAAACTCACCAACTCACCAACTCACCACCAAACTCACCACCAAACCACCAATTCATCAACCCACCAACTCACCAACCCACCAACTCACCACCAAACTCACCACCAAACTCACCACCAAACTCATCACCAACTCACCATCTAACCACCATACTCACCACCAAACTCACCACCAAACTCACCACCAAACTCACCACCAAACTCACCACCAACAAAGGATGGTCCAGTCCCCAATTATTTATTTCCGCCAACCTCACCCGGCGGTGAGTCCAAGGGACCCTCCTCACCAAACTTCAAACGTCAACAGGAAAACAAACTCCAGCCACGCCCCTCCCCCTCCCCCTGCCCACGTGACACCCTCGTCACCGTCAGCACCTCCTCCCCCTCCTGCCCACGTGACACCGACGTCACCGTCAGCACCTCCTCCCCCTCCCCACGTGACACCGACGTCACCGTCAGCGCCACGGCTGCCCTCCCCACGTGACACCGACGTCACGGTCAGCACCTCCTCCCCCCCTCCCCACGTGACACCGACGTCACGGTCAGCACCACCGCTGACATCGCCGCGTTACGCAGTGGGTGATGGGTCGGGGGCTCGTTAAAATATATCGTCGTTGAGAGGCGACGTTTAGGGGCACCGCCCCGGCTCAGGTTTTAGGCCTCGGGCCTCTGGGGCTCAGGAGCCCTGAGGCCTGCAGCTCACGAGGCCTGGGCTGAGTTCATGAACCCTGAGCCATGGGCCACCAGCCCTGGGCCACCAGCCCTGGGCCATCAGCCCTGGGCCATCAGCCCTGGGTCACCAGCCCTGGGCTGAGTTCATGAACCCTGAGCCCTGGGCCTCCAGCCCTGAGCCATCAGCCCTGGGCCATCAGCCCTGGGCCACCAGCCCTGGGCCATCAGCCCTGGGCCATCAGCCCTGGGCCACCAGCCCTGGGCCATCAGCCCTGGGCCATCAGCCCTGGGCTGAGTTCATGAACCCTGAGGCCTGGGCCATCAGCCCTGGGCCACCAGCCCTGGGCCACCAGCCCTGGGCCATCAGCCCTGGGCCATCAGCCCTGGGCCATCAGCCCTGGGCCATCAGCCCTGGGTCACCAGCCCTGGGCTGAGTTCATGAACCCTGAGCCCTGGGCCTCCAGCCCTGAGCCATCAGCCCTGGGCCACCAGCCCTGGGCCATCAGCCCTGGGCCATCAGCCCTGGGCCATCAGCCCTGGGCCACCAGCCCTGGGCCATCAGCCCTGGGCCATCAGCCCTGGGCTGAGTTCATGAACCCTGAGGCCTGGGCCATCAGCCCTGGGCCATCAGCCCTGGGCCACCAACCCTGAGCCATCAGCCCTGGGCCACCAGCCCTGGGCCACCAGCCCTGGGCCATCAGCCCTGGGCCATCAGCCCTGGGCTGAGTTCATGAACCCTGAGGCCTGGGCCATCAGCCCTGGGCCATCAGCCCTGGGCCATCAGCCCTGGGCCACCAGCCCTGGGCCACCAGCCCTGGGCCACCAGCCCTGGGCCACCAGCCCTGGGCCACCAGCCCTGGGCTGAGTTCATGAACCCTGAGGCCCGGGCCACCAGCCCTGGGCCACCAGCCCTGGGCCACCAGCCCTGGGCCATCAGCCCTGGGCCACCAGCCCTGGGCTGAGTTCATGAACCCTGAGGCCTGGGCCATCAGCCCTGGGCCATCAGCCCTGGGCCACCAGCCCTGGGCCATCAGCCCTGGGCCACCAGCCCTGGGCTGAGTTCATGAACCCTGAGGCCTGGGCCATCAGCCCTGGGCCATCAGCCCTGGGCCACCAACCCTGAGCCATCAGCCCTGGGCCACCAGCCCTGGGCCACCAGCCCTG